CAATAGATAATTTAGTTTATATAATTTCAAGATTTGATAAAAGTAATGAATATTTATTAAATAATTATTATTACTTTGAATAATTTTAAAATTTTTTTTGAAATAAAAATTTCTGGAGTTTTTTTATTTTAAAAAATTCTATATTAAAAATTCTTAAAAACCTTTAAATATTTTCAAAGATTTTTCTGGAAATTTTCTGATGGAAATATAAAATATAAAAAAATTTATAATTATAAAAAATTCTATAATTAAGAAAAAAAAATAGATTAGATATCAAGAAATATAAATATAATTTTTAAAAAAAACAATCAACTTTAGTTATATACAAATGGAAGAAATAAAAGATATATTATTTAAATATTTGAATTTAGTAACTAGTACTATTACAAATACTTTTATAAAAGTTTTATAAAATATAATTAAAGAAAATATTAAATGGTTGGAAATATAAAATAATTAAGATTTTGTCAAAATAAACTGTAATAATAAACTATAGGCAATAAATTCAAATTTTTTAAGAAATAGAAAAAATAAGAAAGCAACTTTATTTATTTTCAAGATTATATCTAAAGATTATTAAAAATTAGTAACAGATATTCAAGTATTAGCTTAATTTATATATAAAAATGTTATATTATTATATTATCAATTTTAATATTAAATAAATACATAAATACTTGTTTAATTATAGAAAAAAAAGTAACTATTAAATATTATTTGAAATGATAATTAGATAATTAGCAGAATAAGTTTCATAAATTAATAAATATATCAGTATAAAGTTTAATTAAACTAAGAAAAAAATATATAATTAAAAATTTTAAAATATAATACTTTTTTATTTAAAAAAAGTTTTTTTTTGATTATTCTTATAAATTTAAGTTTTTATTAAATATATATAAATGTAAAAGCCATTTATCTTTTAATTTAAAATCAATATTTGAATCAAAGAGTCAAGCTTCAAATATATGGTAAATCCAAAAATCAAGGAATTATAAATAAGTTTGAATTGTAAAATAATTAATAGCTGCAATTTTTATTACAGTATCTAATTAATATGCATTTGCTGTCTTACATAAAGAATTGGTCAATTAACGACACGTTTTTGAAATTTCCATGATTTTAATTAAAAATCATCAGTAAATATTTGATAAAAATAAATATATTATGGTAATTAGATATTGTGATTATTGGGTTCTCCAATGTACTGGTATAACACAATTCGTATATTGTATATCCAAGAAAGATTAAAGACTGTATAATTTGATTCAAAGCTGTATGTAACAAAGTAAAATACATGTAGAAACAAACGAAATATACAATATCTCACGTAATTGTTTTAGCCTGATTAAGAGAAAAAAAGACACTGTAATTTAGCATTGCGATTGAGAAATCGGAATAACCCGGTATGGTGTAGGTTGCATCAACCTCGAATCGGTCGTACAAAAAATTCAGATGAGACAATTAACTTTAAATTTTCGCGTAGGCAATCGTGCATATTTTAGTCAGCAGTTTAAGTTTAATTGGGAAAAAAGGATCAATCTCTTTTAGGCTAAATTTACTTTTAGGTTGACTGCTTTGACTGTATGCCCGAGCACATCCCAGAGATCCCGTTAAAGAAATTTTGCATAAACGCACGCGATTAATCACGCATTGACTCCGATACAATGCAATCAGGTGGCCTATTATTGTTGATTGCGGTTTTTTAGAATGATGGGTTGCACAAACGTATAGATATCATCCGCGCAAGTCATTCTCTTCGTTTGCATACACTTTCGAATATGTCTGAAGACAAGGAGAATGGTCGCGATCACGTTTCCGGAGATTACTTTCTCGGTGTCGTCGAAGAGACTCAACCTAGCGGTTCCATTACTCCCGAGAGTCGCGGGAGTCCGCCTAAAAATCCTGGTTTGAGTAAAATAACAACACCATACTATTCTTATCATGTTGAAAAGGCCATTAAAAGTGTAAGTTGTATTGTTTTCATCCTATTTAGGTTAGGACTAGGGAGCTACGTAAATAGAATAACAATAATGTGGCGGGGTTTTCGCATAGTGACGTGTGATTTGTCATTTTGGAATATATTAACAACGACTTGCAAATTTTTCACCACGTAATTTTTTGGTCTTTGATTATTATTTTTCGCGTAAAATTGCAGCTTTCACTAAATAAACGAATATATATATTTTTAATATAAATATAAATTTTAATTAATGATAATCTAATAACATTGTAAATTTTTCTCCACCGATGGAAAAAAAGGGGGACTCCGCATATTGGGCAAGAAAAAAACATCCAGAACAATTACCTCGTGGAGAATTGACTTCTTTGCTTAGCGATGGGGCAAATGACACGGATGAATCAGTCGACATAGGTAAGTTATCATCTGGAAACCAACATTTTGTCAAGGTCGAGCAAGATGACTAATTTGACAAAAAAAAATAAACACCTCTTTCGTGATCGTAGTGGAGGAGGTGGAACAAGTTAAACAGGAATTGAATATGATCCATACCAAGTTTCAAAAATGCCTTGATCTGCGTGACAAATACATGGCACTCTCATTACAAAGATTAGGTGATAATCCCAAAGACCGGGACGATTGGACGATCTATCCACCTCCACCTTATAGAGCTTACGCACAGTCTCGGGCGTCCAATGAACCTCCTTCTCTTGATACAAAGGAAAAAAAGAAGACAGCCGTAGGTGAAGACTTTATATTTGATGAATGCGAGATACCGGAGGAACACGAAGTATATTGATTCTTCGATAATGTCTGTGTCATATTTTATTCTATTAGCACTGATTTTCATTCAAAAAACCTTGAAATTATTTTTCTCACCTAGTATCTCTTCGCCATCGATGCTCATGGTGTTTATCAAGTGTACAAGACTCAAGATGGTAGGTATTATGTCATGAATCCGTAATCATGTGTGTAAATTAGGTCCTAATGTTTTTCAGACCTTGACAATGGTAAGCCGGCTTACAGAGTTCCAGACACCAAAGAATATTTCATGGACCTTGATTTTATTCTTGATACAATTTCTTATGGTCCGGTAAAAAGTTACGCATACAGACGTCTTTTATATTTGGAAAGTAAGTGGAACATGTACACGTTGTTAAAGGAATTCCAGGAAATTGCCGATTCAAAGGTATCAACGTTTAGTATTCCGTTGTATTAATGATATTTCTCTCTACTCATTATTCATGATTGTTCAAATTTCATAGAGAGTTCCCCATCGAGATTTTTATAACGTCAGGAAGGTTGACACACACGTGCATTTGTCTTCCTGTATGAATTCCAAACATCTTCTCAGGTTTATAAAGTTAAAATTGAAGAAATTTGGCAACGTTCGTTCATTCGTTCTCAATTGTTTCATGCATTAATCATTAATTTCTAAGTTGACACGAAGCTATAATTAACCGTTTCTACTAGGATCAAGTTATCATTAGGGACAATAAGGTTCTCACGCTGGTCGAAGTATTTGAAAGTTTGGGTCTGACCGCATACGATCTCAGCATTGATACGTTGGACATGCATGTAAGCTTGCCAAGTAGAAATTCATGTCTTGCCCTCCTCTCTTGAATTAATCTTGGATGTTTGTATCACAATAAGGCACACACCGATACATTCCATCGATTCGATAAATTTAATTTAAAATATAATCCAATCGGGGAATCTCGGTTAAGAGAAATTTTTCTGAAGACCGACAACTACATTGGAGGTAGATATATGGCGGAAATTACAAAAGGTAAGCTTGGCACGTCTATGTACATATCGATTCAGCCTAATCACGAGATTTACTGATACCATTCAACATAGAGGTCATATCAGATATTGAGGCGAGTAAATATCAGATGGCCGAATATCGAGTTTCAATATATGGACGGTAAGGATTTGCATAGACGTGATATCTACTCTAATCCTAATCACTCAATTCAATGATTGCAAAAAATTGTGTAGCTCAAGGGGGGAGTGGGATAAACTTGCCAAATGGGTAGTAGATCACAAAATATTCTCCTTAAATGTTCGCTGGTTGATTCAAGTACCAAGACTTTATAGCGTTTATAAAGAAACAAAAACCGTGGAAAGTTTTGAAGATATCATAAAAAGTAAATATTATTATTTTTCTAGGCGACATGATGTGATTGATATACAGTATACGATTGTTTATTATAGTTTGTTTCTTACATTTATTTTAATTTTATCGAATAACTTGTAGATATTTTCGAACCACTATTTGAGGTCACCAAGAATCCGCGAAGCCATCCGGAGTTACACGTGTTTCTTCAGCGCGTGGTTGGATTTGATAGTGTGGATGATGAATCCAAAGCCGAAAGAAGAATTCACAAGAAATATCCGTGTCCCAAAGAATGGACTACATCTCTGAATCCACCATATTCTTATTACCTTTACTATATGTTTGCTAATATGGCAAGCTTGAATCAATGGAGAAGTGCTAGAGGATTTAGTAGGTTTCCCATTGCCTCTGTATTAACAACTTTGTAGACATCGCGTCACTGATCATTTTACTCTTTATCCTTCTCTATCACAGATACATTTGTTCTTCGACCGCACGCCGGTGAAGCTGGTGACACCGATCATTTGACTTCTGCTTTTCTTACATCCCACTCGATTTCGCACGGCATCCTATTGCGTAAAGTTCCCGCATTACAATATCTTTTCTATCTCAAACAGATTGGCATAGCGATGTCACCTCTGTCAAATAACGCATTATTTTTAAATTACGAAAGAAATCCCCTCCTGAGTTTCTTTAAGAAAGGCTTAAACATAAGCCTAAGTACAGACGACCCACTCCAATTTCATTTTACCAAAGAGCCTTTGATCGAAGAATATAGCGTTGCAGCACAGGTAAGTTATTATCCACGGTGCACAATACCATTTAATCCTATTAAGAAACAAATTTTTATTATTAGATTTGGAAGTTGTCTTCCTCTGACATGTGCGAACTTGCACGTAACTCTGTCGTTCAAAGTGGTTTTGAAATGACCATTAAGAAACATTGGTTGGGAGCCAATTGGTTTTTACCCGGGGAACGTGGAAATGGTAATTATATGCTATTCAATATCAGTTAGATTTCTTTCCTAGTTGTTTATTCCATTTTTGTTTTTTAATATCTATATATTTATTATTCATTTATCGCAGACATTCACAAAACCAACGTTCCAAACATCAGAATGCAATTCCGTTGGGAAACACTGGATGAAGAGATCTCGATGGTTGAAAAGTATTCAGGGAAGTCATTGAGACTTTCGTCTGAGCCAAATGCCTTTCAGTTGGACGCCGCTTCACCCCTGGGTTCTCCGCAAGCTTCAGGAAGAAACAAACTGTTTTTCTCGGAAACTGATGTGGGCGTTCTTCCCGGTGTCGCGATGTTTTATGAGAGGGTTCACAAGTTGGCTAAAAGATATAGAAAAGATAAACAGAATATAGAAGAAAATATTGATTCATAAAATCGAAATCTTGATTTAAAACTTCATAGATGTATTTGTACATGTATTATTAAGGAAATTTCTGCTACACCATCATAATTAGATGCTGTAATTTTTTTCTTTTGGTCTCCTTGGAGAACGCAAATATGTTATCAATCTCGGGGCAGAATCGCAAGGGAATTACATCATTCTGACAAAAACGCATTCGATGAAACGATGTTTAAAATGGCATTCGAAATATACGTTAAATACCAATTATAAATCACATCCATTAATTATGAGCTGGGCATGTGATTTTTTGTTTTCAAAAAGTTGGGATGCTATGTAAACACATTAAGCCTGATTGGGGGTCATGAAAAATCCCTGAATGTCATTTTTAACTTACCAAAAATGGGAAATTGTTTTTTGGGAACTATTCATTAAGGAGTCATCTCAGCACCCTGAATGCTATATATCTTTTTAAAGTGGATGGATGCTAAAAGAACATCCAATAGGTTCTCATCAGGATCAAAGTTTAGAATGTTCCCTGCGCCAATCGTCAACTAAAAAACCGAACAAGGATAAACAATCGACGAATTAAAAATTACATTCAGGGTTGTCGAGGTCACATTTTATTCCAACTCTGACTTCCCGGAGCGATTGTATTGTACTGTATATTGTGTGTGGTGTGAAGTTGAACAAAGCATTAATTGGTCATAAAGCATGCTAATATTACATTCATTAATTGTTACGTATAGATTGCAGGCAAGATGTATAACAGGTTTCATAAAAATCCTACCAAATTCGGAACCAAGAAAATCCTGTCCATATCCATCAGCACACACGTTTTGCAAAAAAGAAATTTCTCCGTTGGAACCTGTCGTCATGACTATCATAATTTGATGTTTCCTTTTAAGGGCATCTTATATAAAATCAAAAACCTGCATCTTCATGCTACCACCACATTGAAAAAAAAAAACCACATTTTCCCTTGTCTCTTTAGCTTTCTTAACTTACTTACTTACCTACCCAACCTTCTTTTTTGATCTCGACCCATGGTATTACCATCTCACTGCTAACCCGCGCACGCTCTTCACTGTCTGATAACTTCAGAGGATTTTAAATAGTTGTTTCTTCCAGTCCCTACCATGACCTCCAGAAAAGACGATAGTAATCAAGACTCCGAAGATGCCGCCAGTCTCACAGACGCAAAAAGAATTTCAACATTACAGGAAGAGAAACGACGCATACTAGTTAACATTCCTTTGCCTCACACTGAGCTCGATCAACATGGAGAGCCAAAGAAAAGTTATGTCACAAACAAAATCCGCACCTCAAAATATACCCTTCTGACCTTCATACCTAAAAATCTATTTGAACAATTTCGTAAGGTAGCAAATATGTATTTTTTGTTCTTGGTTGTTCTACAAGCTTTTCCATTGATTGGCGGCGATGTGTCACTTTTTGTGGGTGCCTCCCCGCTATTGACCATCATAGCGATAACCGCTTTCAAGGATGCTTTCGAGGATTGGAAACGTCACACGCAGGATAGATCCCTGAACAAATCCAAAACTGTAATATTAGCAAATTGGAAAAATGTTAATGTACCTGGTGGCGAAACACACAATAAACCTCTAGAGAGGATGTGGTCCAGTGTTAGCAGTTATTTGGGCTCGAACAATAATAAAACTACTGACAATATAACATCTGATTCGTCATTCGACTCCTTAGTCTCTCAACAAGTTCTGCAACCAAAAGTTGGCACGGCACAATGGGCAGAGAGTCGCTGGCAGGACGTTAGAGTAGGGGACATAATACAATTGAAGAATAATGATCAAGTGCCGGCCGACATCATAATATTATCGACCAGCGAACCGGATGGACTATGTTATGTAGAGACCAAGGAACTTGACGGCGAGACAAACCTTAAAATTCGTCATTGCATCCCTTCTACCGGATCGATAATTACTGAGAGCGATTGCGAACGTTTCACATTCTACGTGCAATCAGAACCACCGCATCCAAACCTTTATTCTTATACTGGTGTGATGCATTTGTTCGGCAAAGATATCAACGCTGGCGATCAACAAGCTGATGAGACGACGGAAGGCGATCGCAAGATTGAACCAGTATCAATCAATAACGTTCTTTTACGTGGATGCGTGGTTCGTAATACAGAGTGGGTCATCGGACTGGTCATGTTCACGGGAGCTGACACTAAGATCATGTTGAATGCCGGTGACACGCCAAGCAAGAGAAGCAGGATCGAGATTGAAACTAATTTTCACGTATGTTCGTTATTATACACTGTGAAATAAAAATTATTATTTGTCCTGTGCCCAATTCACGTTCCATTGAAATCCTCTTTTTAGGTCACCATGAACTTTATAATTCTGTTTTTACTCTGCTTCGGCTCTGCTATAGCCGGTGCAATTTTCTATATTCAACCCGATAGTTCAGCTGATGTCTTTGAATATTCTGGCAATGACGCCGGCGGTGCCTTTGAAAACGGCTTTTTGGTTTTCTGGTATGTACTCATCATTTCTATTTTTATCACCATTACCATCTTGCTAAAATATTTTGTCGATTCTTTACATAGGACGAGTCTGATCCTGTTCCAAAATATTGTACCCATATCGTTGTATATTACCATTGAAATGGTGAAGACCGTTCAGGTACGATCAACGTGAAGTCATTACTCTAACTGACATCATACCATGAGATCATTGAAATGAATTTCGTATAATTTTTTAGGCATACTTCATCTACTCCGATATCGACATATATTACCCTAAACTTGATTATCCCTGCACGCCAAAAACATGGAATATATCCGACGATCTTGGTCAGATAGAATACATATTTTCCGACAAAACTGGCACACTCACTCAGAATGTCATGGAGTTTAAAAAATGTACCATCAACGGGGTTTCGTATGGTCTAGGAGAAACAGACGCTGTTCGTGGTGCCAAGCTGGCCGAATCATCGTCTGCTGCTGTTGAAGAGGACGAAATCGATCTTGTGGCCGAAAAAGAATTAATGTTACAAGAGATGTCCAAGATATTCGAGAACAAATACATTTCACCGAACGTTACTTTCATCGATTCAAAATTATTCCAAGACCTAAGAGCGGAGGGCGTGCAAGCCAAAGCAATCCAAGACTTTTTCTCGGCACTCGCATTGTGCCACACCGTGCTCGTAGAACATCCTGACGAAAGTAACCCTTCGAGAATTGATTACAAGGCGCAATCACCTGACGAAGCTGCTTTGGTAGGTTGCGCGCGGGATATGGGCTTCGTCTTTCTGGAACGATTTCAGGATACGCTCACCATCGAGTTGTTTGGCGAGCGCAGGCAATTCACTCTACTCAACGTACTCGAGTTCAACAGCACACGAAAGAGAATGTCTGTGATCATTCGACATCCAGATGGTGGTATAGTTCTCCTGTGTAAAGGTGCCGATAGTGTAATATATGAACGATTGGAGAATGGGAAACAGGCCGAATTAAGGGAAAATACTCTTAGAGATTTGGGAGTTTTTGCTAATGAAGGTTCGTACGAAATCTTGAATCTCGGAATTTTCATTCGCATGAAAATGTGATTTTTCTCAACTACTGACTTTCGCGTTACGTTATCTAGGTCTTCGTACACTTTGTATAGCCTATCGCACAATACCTGATGATGAGTATGAAGTGTGGGCGCAAAAATATGCTGAAGCTGCGTCTAGTATAACAGATCGCGAGGAAAAAATTGAACAAGCGTGTGAAATGATTGAACAATCATTAATTCTCTTGGGCGGCACAGCAATCGAAGACCGTCTTCAAGAAGGTGTACCCGAATGCATAAAAACCTTGTCCACCGCGGGCATAAAGATTTGGGTTCTCACTGGAGACAAAATCGAAACTGCCATAAACATTGGATTCGCTTGTAACCTCTTACAAAAGGACATGACGTTGATCGTGGTTACCGCTTCAGATAAACAAGATACCGCCCGTCAACTCAATGAGGCTCTAGACAAATTCTTTGGACCTGACGCGAAGCCATCTGACCAGGATAGTAAGCATGCTTTGGTTATTGACGGGGAGACACTTAAGTACGCTTTGGACCAGTCGTTAAAGAGTTTACTCTTGGATCTTGGAAAGCGGTGCAACAGCGTAGTATGCTGTCGTGTTAGTCCTCTGCAAAAGGCACAGGTTGTGGCATTGGTAAAGGAAGGATTGAATGCCATGACATTGTCTATAGGCGATGGTAAATTTAACAACAATTATTATTCCTCCTGTAGTAAAAATGTTCGTTCATAATATTTACTTCTTGATACTCACACATTTACAATTATTGTTTTTCCGGGAAAAGGAGCCAATGATGTGAGCATGATCCAAGAAGCAAACGTGGGTGTTGGTATCGTTGGAGAGGAAGGTCGACAGGCATCAATGGCGGCAGATTATGCTTTTGCACAGTTTCGATTTTTGGATAAACTGTTGCTGGTCCACGGACGATGGTCATACTTCCGAATTGCCGAAATGATATCATGTTTCTTCTATAAAAATATCGTGTGGACGATTGCCATGTTTTGGTATCAAGTTTGGGCAGGGTAAGCATTCAAAAATATTGACAGCGTAAGGCTACACACTTATTTCCGAATTGGAACCACGAACATCTGGTCAGGTTTTTACGATACTAAAAGAATGTGTTGCAATTCTTAGGTTTACGGCACAATATTTATACGATTATACATATATCCTCCTATACAACCTTGTGTTTACGGCTTTTCCCGTTATGTTTCTTGGTACGTAATTTTTGAGGTTGGCATCATTGAAAAAAAAAAAAAAGGTTGCTGCGCCAGAACTCATCTATTATGTCATGCCCTTTCAGGTGCTTTCGATCAAGACGTCAACGTGAAAACTTCATTAAAGTATCCGCAATTGTACAAACGTGGTATCTTTCAACAGGATTTTACGAAATCGAAGTTTTGGCTTTATGTTTTGGATGCGGTCTATCAATCTGCCATCTGCTTTTTTATACCTTGGGGCTTACTGCTGAATGGATCATCGCACGCGAACGGGTTACAAAACAATGGGTTGAGTGACTTAGGAACAATGGTAGCCGGTTCGGTGGTTGCCACCACAAATTTCTACGTCGGGCTGAACATAATGAATTGGTCATGGATAACGTTTGTGGTCATTGGGTTTAGCATTATGTCATTTTATGTGTGGGTGGAATTTTATTCGCTTTGGTACATCGGATTCTTTAGAATGGACCTCATATTATATACCGAGATAGAATTTTGGTTGGCGGTGGTTTTGTCGGTCATACTTAGCATCTTACCAAGGTATTCCGTCAAATACATTCACAAGACATATTGGCCGAGCGATACAGACATCATACGCGAAAAAGTGTACAAAGAAAAGAAGGAAAAGAAAGAGAAAGAGGTGATGGAATCCACTGAACAAATCAGAGAGGAAGACAAGATACCGATCACCAGTGAGATTTCCAACACCGCAGATCGATCATTCAACACTTCAAGTTGCATCACGACATCGGACGCCGGGCATGAAGACGCATCATTCACCGAAATCCAAATAACCTCAACAACACCATCATCATCAACAACGAACGTGTCAATGAAACCGCGATCCATGGCAAAATTACCCAAGATCACCTCTTTAAGAAAAACGAGAACCGCTTCAATACGTTCAACGGAGCAGTTATTCCACATGGATTCCGGGAAGCGTAGATCGTTTACCGGCTATGCGTTTTCAAGCGAAGACAGTTCATTCGAAGGATTCCGCCAATCGGTGTATCGCCCGGTGAACCCTGGACGAAGTCGACTAAATGCGCTGCATCGTTCTAATACGTTAACTACCTCAACACCGTCCGGAGATAATTCTAATCGGCTGTCGCTTTTATCGACCTTTTCGTTAAGTAGAAGTCGAACACTTCCTGGCCGATTATTGTTCAGTCGGTGGTCGCCGAATCCTAGTCGATCACCGTCTCCGATACGGCCTAACAATGAATCCAATGGCTCGCTGGCAGATGACAACAGCCAAATGAGACGACGACGGGGGGGTAGCAGTGGGGGTGAAGAGATGGAATTAACAGTGATTTCACCATGTTAGAGTGGTACATAGACATTTTAGGCTAAGCTTGTGTTATTATTATACATACATAGACATTGGGACTTATATATACTTTCTTTGTGTATTATCTTTTCTTTCTTGTATAGTTGATGTAAACATTTTTTTTTATTTCACTCATGCATCTTTTTTTTAACCATTCATTAGACTTGAACACCAAACCACATCAATCACATTTACTTTACTAATATTCAAAACGCCTAAATTAAAATACCATGTAACTTAATATTTATTTTACCACATAAAATATTTATTTCTTGACGTAGCTACTAATTTTCACCAACTAATCGCGATATAAGATGGAAAATCATGTAATATATTTTTTTTGAAGTTTTTAAAAGAAAAAAATCAAGAACTATATATATATATATATATACAGTACTTTGACTGGAATCATCTATTTTATAAAAAATGATCGTGCCAGGATAACTCGATTTACATGTCAGTCGGCGAAATCCATTCATATTCGCACGAAAAAGTTGCACAGAATTGTAGAATTGTCTAAAAAATCGGTCGATTTGTACTTTGCTGCTTCTCGGCGTTATTGTCGATTCCATCAGCACCCCCACTCCCGTTCCCAATTCTATTTCCAATTCCACCAAAAATATTGTTTCCATCGCCAACACCACTTCCATCGCCAATATCTTGATCAGCAGTAACCAAAGAATAAACCGAAGCTTTGAACAAGGTATACACCAGGCCAACTTTTTTTTCGAGGGTACGTAATTTGTTGATTAGGTTTAGTACCTCGGTTGTGTTCATGTGAGTTATTATTTGATTCATCTTTTGATTTCGAAAGTTTAATAGTAGTGGGTTACGGTGTTACTGTTTTAACCAATTTTTACTGTCAATGATCATACTTACTCTATCAACATTTGTCACTAATTTTTCGTATTCCGTAATGATGTCTTTTTCAAGTGTTACGACACTTTCGCTACCACTTATAGTGGTATTCCCAACAACACTGTTCCGTGCATTCTCAAACATGACTTTGAGAACTCGGTGAATATCGCGAAACAGGCGTGCTTTTATTTGACGCGTAACGTCACAGTCACGTGCTTTCCGAATGGGAATTAGGCATATGCATTTATGCATTAAAAAAACTACTAAAAAAAGAATTGATCTAACGATATAAACTTAATAAAATCAAATAACAGGTTTTATAATAAAAAATCATTTTACAATAATAATAATAATAATAATAATAACAAATGGAATTTTTTTTTTATTTCTTGGATTATTAAAAAAAATTTTTTTTTGCCAATTAGTTTTGCTTTCAAGGTGAAATAAGTAAAATTTTAAATTTTAATAATAATTCTTTTTTTTTTTTTCATTTAAAAACATAATAATTAATTCTAATTCTAATTCAAATAATAATAATAATAATAATAATAAAATAATTAATGGAATCCGAATATTGTATATTTGAGCAAGTTGTTTTCGAGCCTAACTTTATTTAAACTCTTCTATATCTGTAATGTACAAGAGTGAACGTATTTAAATACTTTTACTGAAAATTGTATGTTTGAAGATGCAAAGCCAAAATCAGTAATGCTAATAAGTTAATGTATGAGGTTAAATTATAATAAGTTGGAAAGGCAAGCTTAGCTATTCGAAAAAAACACATTGATCCTATAAATTCATCTTGCCATTATACAAAAATCATTGATCATCTTTAGCGTCATCTTTTTCCAACTCCTTTTCGACTTTCTCAGTAGCCTCTTCGTCAACACCATTAACTTCTTTCCCATTTCCATTAACCACCTTTCCATTTCCATTAACCACCGCTTCCTCTTCCTCGCTTAACTCTTCATCATCATAAACTATCGATTTTGCATTTTTTATAAATTCCCTGATTTTCTCTAAATCCTTCACACCTTCTGTTTCAACTCCACTTGATACATCGACACACCAAGGTTTTGCCACTTCTATAGCCTCATTAACATTTTCGGGCGTTAACCCTCCCGCCAAAATTATGGGAAACCCATGTTTTCCTCCTACATTTCTTGATACACTTGACTTAATATTCAATGCTATTTTCCAATCAAATGTGATTCCTGCTCCGCCCTGATGTTCTTTTGAATGATCGGATATCACCACTTTGGTATCCAACAAACATAGTTCGTTGTAGCCAGGTTGGGTGACTAATGCTGAGTTTGAAAAATTAGAGTCAATATGAAATGTTTTAATCACAGGTACAGGTAATAATCTTGCGAGGTCCAGTGGTTCTTCGCCATGTAATTGAACTAAATCTAATCTCAGATAATCGACTACTTTAATTATTTCATCTAATGATTGATTCTGAAACACGCCAACTATTAATGGTTTTCTTATATTCTTGTTTATTCGGTGGGCGTGTATTTTAAACCAATCATGATGTTCGGGCAGTGAATATTTTTGAAAAGTTTCCCCTTTGATATTAGCTTCAGCGCCTCTTTCTAATTGAAATTCCCGCAAAACTGTAACAATTTCTAATGCTCGATCGATTGATATTTGTCTCTTTGATTTTGCAAATATTAGTCCGACAAAATCCGCTCCTGCGTCGGCCGCGCAGATCGCCGCTTCAACTGTTGAAACTCCACAAATTTTCACCAAAGGTGTCACAGGTTCAACCGTCAGTGTACTTGGTGGCTCTTCCAACGCAAGAATCTCGCGAATAAATGCCCTCTTATCATCTGATCTCATTAATGCCTCTCCAATTAACAAACCACTAATACCCTGCTCGAGATATCCGACAACATCTTCTCTTCCGGTTATTCCACTTAGAGCAACCAAAATAGCGTCATCAGGAACCATTTCGGCAAGAAGAGTTGTAGTATTCATATCAACGTCAAATGTATGCAAATTCCTGTTGTTTATTCCAATCACTTTTGCCCCTAGCTTAACCGCCCTTGTAATTTCTTCTTCATTATTAACTTCTACCAATGGTTCCATACCCAGGGATTTGGAAAATTTGTACAATTCTGTAAGTTTCTCATCTGATAACATGGCGACAATCAATAGTACAGTATCAGCTCCGTAAAGACGTGCCTCCATAATCTGATAGGTATCCATTATAAAATCTTTCCTTAAGATAGCCGGACGATTTGGAACGGTTGACAAAATGTCACGAACTTGACGCATATCGTTCAAAGTCCCTTTGAACCATTTTGGCTCTGTCAAAACGGAAATTACAGATGCACCAGCTTTTGCATAAGTTAGTGCTTGTTCTGCAGCATTCACTGATACATCAATGTTTCCTTTACTTGGTGATGCTCTCTTAACCTCAGCAAAAATAGCCGGATACTTTAATAAGTTTTGTTTGACCCTTGCCACAAAATCAATTAAAGGAGGAGCGACATGGAGAGACAATAATTTCTTATAGTCAATTGGAGATGAACCAGGTTGTTTTTTGGCGTTTTCTATATCGGCCAATCGTTGATTCCGAATTTTTTCCAAAATTGAAGGAAGTGACTTTTTTGGAACAGATGATTTCGCTAGCGGAGCTTTCACGTCAAACGTTGGATCATCTTCCCATTTTCCACTTTTTAACTTCAAAAAGTTTTGGAGAATGGTTTTTCCATGTTCACTAAGAATACTCTCGGGATGAAATTGAATGCCTTCAACGGTAAATTCTCGATGCCTAACACCCATCACGACTCCCGTATCGCTCCAACTAGAAACTTCCAATTCTTCGGGAATGGTATGCGGTTGTGCGGCCAGAGAGTGATATCTGGTAGCCAAAATTTCATTGGGTACATTGATAAAAACCCCTTTGCCGTCGTGCTTTATAACTGAGGTTTTACCGTGAATTAATTCACCCGCGTAACTAACTTTACCACCGAATACTTCAAAAATACATTGTTCGCCAAGACAAACCCCAAGAATTGGAACCTTTCCTGTGAAAACTTGAATGACTTCACGAGAAATTCCTGCGTCGGTTGATGGATGACCTGGTCCAGGGGAGATTACAATGTTCCTTGGATTAAGTGAAACTAAATGCTCAACAGTCGTTTGATCATTCCGAAAAACTTGAACCTCAGCACCGAGTTCAGAGAGATATTGGTACACGTTCCAAGTAAAAGAATCATAATTATCAATTAAAACAGTGACATTTGAAGTGACTGATTGAGATGACATATTATCCAACGTTTTTTGCCGTTTCGTGTTCCGCGAGCTTTTTTTGAAAAAAATTGTACAGTTTCACAAACCCATTGTGTGTTATGAAAATTTTTTAATATTCCCGAAAACAAGCTATTTCATACTTGCACCATAAAGATTTAATTTACCAATAAATCTTGTGTATAACGATAAGATTTGGCTTAATATAAATATACAGTAGTGACCTATCAATGGAATTATTTTTATTGGAATGCGAGAAGTTTAAGATTTAATAATTAATAAATAGAAATTTTTAATTGATGTTTTTTTAATTGGATATCTTTTTATTTTAAAATTTATTATTATTATAGTTGTTTAAGATAATTAAATGCAAATAAATATTAATATATATATAATACTAAAACATATTTTTTAAAGAATTTATATAAATAGGATGGTAGGTTTAAACTAGTGGTAGGACTTCCTCCATCCTGTGTAAGTCCCACCTGGCGTGAGCCCATTTACTTGATGCAAGCTGACCAACCAGGGTAGTTGGGTTGAACTTTGGGAAACCAGTACTACTGGAAACAGTAAATACTAGATAGCATTAATTTACATTTTAGAATAGCAATAGTTTAGTCTGTAAAGATGTTTGATGTAATGACAGTACTATCAATTAGTAAATAAAGTCTTGCATCTAATGTCCTTAGCCAACTTAAAAAAAAAAAAAAAAAAAATTTATATAAATATATTGTTATTGTTTTAAAAAGCAAAACAAAAATTGTATTAATTTAAATTTTTAGTAAATAGAGTGTTTTTTATAAAATAAAAAATAAAATAAAAATAGAATAAAGAAAATTAAGAAAAAATAAAAATTCATAATTTAAAATATTGAAATTTTCAATTTTTTACTAGATAGATTTCAAAATTACAAATAAAAATATTTTTAATTCTTAAATAATAATATTTTTATATTATAATTCAGTTAATTTTATTTTCAAAACTCAAAAAAAATGGTTTTTTTTATATTTTAATTAATTATATATTATTTTTTTTAATTAATTATATATGATTTATTTATTTATACAAAGAATTAATTAAAAAATTATTTTGTTATACTTAAATAAAATAATTTTTATTAAAAAATTTTTTTATTTATAAAAATAAAAGTACTTAAAAATTACCATATTAATTATTTTAATCTCTTAATAAAAAATATTTTTTTGGTTTTTTTGCAAATAATTATTTAAAACTATAAAAAAACTTTACAACTTGAAATTTAAACCATAATATTTTAAAATAACTATATTATTTAAAATTTTTTTATTAAAGTTTTTAATATTTTGATTTTATATAAAAAAATCAATAACAAATCAATAAAAATAAATAAATAAATAATTTTAAACTTTAAATAACAAAGTAATATATTGAAATATAAATATATACAGTATATTAGTTTATAATATAACTAAACAATTTTAAAATATTAATAAATATATTAATAAAAAAATAAATAAGTTATAATTTAATTAATTGAAGAGGTACACAACAGATTTCTTAAAAATTTCCTTTTTAGGAAATTTGCAGAACGAAAGTCAAGGAAAGATGACAAGCTACAACAGAAGCTCTAAAGCTTCCACCAACCCCCCTCCAACAACAGAACGCACTTTGAGATATGAGAGAAGGGCAGGGAAAGAACCTGGTCCAATCAGAACACAACCATACGCAAAGAAGCCCACCCCAACAGCAGCTAAGAAGCCCACTCAACCAGCGACCAACCCAAACTCCAATACACACCAACAAGTCACAGAAGACAACCCCAAACCGGATGTACAACCTAAAGACATGCAACAAAGGAACAACCAGCAACAAGACAACGAACTCCTCACTCAACAGAGCCAAGAATCAGCAACATCGACTGCATCTTGGAGCGACATCGTAGAAACCCACCTTAACACAACCAACAGACTAGAAAACCAACAAGAGGAACAGGAAAACGTCACTAATCAAAGACACCAAACAGCCAGAATCGATGACACAGATGAAGAAATGGACACCGAAGAAGGAAGCAACCCAGAACAGAGATGGTTCCCAGTCTCTAAAGGCAAAGGCAAAGAAAGAGAAAATTTGCAAGGCAGACCAAGACCAAGGTCACCCTTCGACAGAACAATCAGATATGGACGAGAACGATACAAGGTCGGAATCCCAGCACAATTAGTCAAAGGAAGGACAACACATCAGAAATTGGAACACATCATCCTAGCCCTCAACTCTCCTGAAGGACTGCTAACAGTACGAAGCGAAGGAAAAAAAGAAGACATGAAAATCATTGCCATTTTCGCAGATCAACACGCAGCAGATCACGCAACAACCATAGAGCTCCCAGAAATGGATAACAACAGACTATCACACATGGAGACTGGTCGCCAAGAGATCAATAAAGGAAACTCTATTGTAGTATGGGATATCCCCCTGAACACAAAACTCATAGAAGTAAAACAAGCTTTTGCCAAACATGGCCAAATACAAGGAATCACAATGAAAACCCAAAACCTATGGCAATGCGCCACAATTACCTTCGAAGATCCAGAACCCAAACACAAACTGGTAGCCACCAGAAGCATTCTAATCAAGGGAGACTCAGTAAGAATCAATGACGCAGAATGGACCATCCAACAAATGAAACAAAGACACGAAATTGCAGCAAAACTTACAAACCTTCCCCCCAACACAACTGCATGGGACATCAAAAACATCCTCACACAATGTAAAGGACGCACATGCTACATCCCAAGATCTGCAAATTGGAGCTACAAACCCAAACGTTTTGCAGTTATAAGTTTCGAAACACAAGAAGATCTCTTAACAGCAGTCCAAACACAATACCAACAAGGAGAAACAATACTTTCCTTCACCCCGATCTCAACAAAACTGTGTGCGATATGCGATGCAGCCTCCCATCTAGCCAAAGACTGCCCCACTAAGGAAAGACGCACCCAATGGAACACATACAACAAAAATCAGGCAACCAAATTTGGAGACCTCTACAACAAATTCAGACCAGAGAAAACCTCAACAATCCGCAACATT